TATATATATATATATTTACTCGACTAACCCATTTGAATAGTATTTGTTTGGCGATATGTTTGTCGTATTGGGCATTTCCATCTCCATGCTACAGACCCCACCCGCGCCCACACTGTCCAAATCAAGACCCCCCCACTCCCTCTTTGTACGTGCACATACAATGGGTTTCCGTATATATATATACTTATTCTTGAAGCCAGATGTATATATATACTCTTTTCACTCTTTTCATTCAGTCGTACCATACATATGAACCACAAAAAGCAGAGAAACGTTGATGTTTAAATATATTACTCTATTCCTAAATGTAACGGATACGTTTCAACTTGCCTTTCCGCGAGAAATTTCACACATTTATCTAATCACGACGATGATCTTTACACCAATAATCAATTGCGCCGGATTCGAACTTCCTGGTGATACAATATATTTATTCTATTGGTTTCATTGCATATTAACTCGTTTCGATTGAAAAAGAACGATGATCAAAACTCCTCCCATGATGAAACATAACGAAGTATTTATTTATATTCCCTTAGTCCCCAACCATCTTATGGAGCCTCGCGGGACAATCGATGGTGTTTTCTCTGTTTTTTACGGCTGCGTTAAGTGTGGCGAGCCGCCAGCCGTGGTTTTGTGCCCTGTCAGACGTCGCTGCAGGTCGGGCGCATTGTTATCCGTTCCGTCCAAATGAATCGGGAGATATGACCACACATTCGTATGAAGTCACGATTGTGTGGCTACTTGGTACGGAAATCTATATATATATATATCCGACGATATCTCGAAAAATAATATGTTTCAAGGGTTTGTATGCCTCGGCATCGTAATATGAACTCGTACTTTAAAATAAATGTCATGTGTTGCCTTGGCTGGCTCGTAGGTATATTTGAGGTTGGCCACCATACCAAACTCTACTATTTGACATTTATATAAATGTAATTAGTTTTTGAAGGGATTATTCTCAATATATTACGACGTAGGACATTGGCACTATGTGGTGCTTGCAATCGCATTTAATTTGAAGGATCCATTCCGGGAATCTGCGTGGACCAACCGGTTATTTGTATGGTACACGGCTGCCGTGGGGTCGCTTTTGGTCGTGTTGTTGTTGTGGCCTGGTTCGTACTATATATATATATTATGTTTAATATTAGTTGATTATGTAGGAAATGCCATGGCGACGTCGTGGTTTGACTTTGAAACGGCGTTACCCATGTCATTCTGTGTGCAATTGGGCGGGTCGTTTGCATTGACGGTGGTGGCGGCCGTGGGAGTGGAAACTGGGGTTCACTTGCTTTTTGAACGCAAAGTGTCCAAATAGTTTGGGCAGAGTAATAACAAATTTGACAAAATTATTGATATTATAATTGCCGTCATAAAAAGTATTTCGATACTAGTATTGTGGATTCGATACGAACTTCCAGACCCTGTCCAATCGAATCTCGCCGGCGAATCGAATCATGAATCGACGCTATTGGCTAATCCATTTTTGAGTGAATTTGATTGGCTCATGAAGAAAGGACAAGTATATTCAACCAATCAGAACTCCGGCGTGATTCAATATTTATTCGACAAACCAGGCGAATTTTGGAAATTTATAGCGAATTCACAATACAAGAAATTTTAGAGTAATTTCAGATTTTAAGGCCACTCTAGCTGCCACAAAAAATGTCAGAAAACACCTCTTTTTGTAACTTTTCAGAAATATTATGACATTTTGTCAAACGACAGCTTTTGCGTGTTTGGCTACCAAATCTGGCGTATATAAAGTGACATAATCCGTCGAGTCTTTACTGTTTTCTGCCATAAAAACGGTTGAACTGCAAGGGTTCATCCTTTACAAACATGATATTCTATCAATAGTTCTCCTTCCATCATGATATCCAGAGGTCACATCAAAATATTTTCTCACCTCTGTCAGAATATTATTTCACATCTAGTTTTCTGTGGCATCCAGACTCAGCCTTATAAAAAAAGGAATAAAATACTTCAACCCTGTTAAACGACGAACCCAAGCAGCAGCAGGCGGCATCTACTACGATCAATGTCCACTGCCATCAAGACCGGCGTTTGTACTACAAACTGAAGCTACGTTGATGCGTTGAATTGAAACCCCTGTGGTGGTCGACTCAACTTTAACAAAAAGACCGTTGCAAACGAAGTCAAAACTATGAAAATGGAAGTGGATTACTCTCTGCAATAAAATACTACAAGCCTTGGAAGGTGCAGCCATCAACTACTTCGATCTGACTTCAAAGTCTCATCTTTCAAATGTCCATTCACGCGCTAGTGATAATTACACGAGTTTCAAATGTCAAACACAAGTCATGCAAGCCTCGACCCTTCTCCCAAACTCGTGGCCCTTCGTGTGAACGATACATATATTGCAAGAATACAAATATCATTTACAGCTCCTTGGGGTAGTTGGCCGTTCTGTGTATACACGATGATGTAGTAACTACATACTTCCTTCCTTGGGATGTAACATCACTCTCACATTGGCACTCATGACCGACTTATCACCATAGCGAGTGGATTCTGACGATTGGTGTCCGTTAAGAGTCATATCGGCGTCATAAAGCAGTGAAAGGATTATTACTATCAATAGTACACATGACGGACGACCTGTGGAGCAATACTACTACAAACATGTACTAGCTACACTGTAATAACATTAGCTAAACTCGCACGAATGTTCAAGTGACATATCGTTGCATCGTCAGAACATCAAATCATCCTCGAGTTGCAGTTGCAGGAGGACTGTAAATATATATATATCCATTCAACCACCCACGAAAACCATTGGATCAACATAAGCAGGCCTGATGCTTCGAAATCTAGTCGTCGACGATATTGGCTTGCGATTTACTGGTATAACGTTGGTATGTATCTAGGATTCCTGCCAGCAACTACCAAAAACGCTCACATCCACGGGTAAAATTGCGAGTTTGACCTTGCATATGCGTTGAGTGGGGCAGTACTGTGCATGGTTGACGTTGCAGTTTGCCATGTTTCCCGTTCAACTTTGATAACGCTCTTGAACTCAACATGGAATAATCGTGATGCTATCGTCTTGTGGTCACTTTTGAATTCACCGCGTTCGTGACGACCTCATGCAGCAGATCTTGCTCCTTGTGCTTATAGCGTGCGCTGCCCTTGGCGCGCCGTCCCATCCAGCATTGCGCCAGTCGCCAGCACAAGAACCTTCCGAAGCGCTCGTTGCGCGGTTCTTTCAAATTCACAACAAGCGCATGGGCACCACTGTTCCACCTTAGCGTGCGACACGTCGATGGCCCTACCGTTGTGTACTGGAGTCATTATCGTAAATCGAACTTTCGTTAACAATAGCAGTCGACAAAGTACATTAGTATTGGCCTGTCATTGGCCTGTCATTGCCATTCTGTGAAAAGGATTGTGCTTTAGATTGCCCGACACGATACTATACACACAGTCAAACCTAACCACTAGATGTTGCACGACGCTATCCTCATTGCCTAGCGGAGCTCTGATGAGAGCCCTACCAGTAGTCCGGCCCGTATGTATGCGTACGCATTGAATTTGGCTTGGGGTAACGTCCCACATCCACTACAAACTACAGCCACGACACGTTGTTCATGGTCAAGAATTTACGAATCAACATACTGTAATTAGCGCACGAAAAATAGGCAGTTCTTTTGCGACTAAAGTTATTTTCTTGTCATGATAAATTTCACAGCGTCGTCAGGGTTTTACATATTTTATTATTTTGAAGATATTTTTGTGTTTTGACATGGGGTTGAATTGGTAGTACTGACAGGGATGGCTCGATATAAACATTAGCGTTCTATCCTGGTTCACTTCATCATTATCGAAAATGCCTTGGATTGATGCACTGCTGCGTCGAGTGCCATTGTATTGGCAAGCGCGTTCTAGCCTACTTACTCGTTGTCGTCAAGTTTTCCCCTGTCCACCAACACTGTAATGTGATCAACTTTGTTGGCCACTACTCGGAAGCAGTTCAAGTGGGGGGCCCATACCAATGGTTTGTTGACGTTCAAAATCTGGACCACCTCGACCCGACCAACCTTGTTGTGTGGAAGCTTTGCTTAGCAACGCCGACTTCTTGGCAAAAGCTCCCCCGTCTTTTTGTACGTCGAGTACTCAAGCGCACACCACGAGCGTGTCGTCTTGCACATGAACGTGTTGGCCACGATGCACAAGTCGCTCGGGGTGGCGTTGGAGTACCGGTGGTACTATGGGTACTCGCAGTCCGTACCCGACTACACGGCGGCCAACATCCAGTTCATGAAAATTATTATGCTCATTGTAATCTATATCATTATAACGAAACAAATACTTCGAAGTGTATACTACAATTGTAATTTTGTTCTATCTGATTTAACATCTAATTTTTATTTAATACCTCTTTTAAATCAATAAATTTTAAACGTGTGACCAAGCACCACCACCCGATATTGCCCACTTCCAAGACGACATGATGGAGAGTTCCAAGCTCACCAACACCAGCAAATGGGAGTCGTGTTTATATGCAGTTACCCCAACATGTTGTCGGTTCAAGCACGGCGACCGCTTCGTCGGGGCGGTGGGTAGATCAGGGGCTATAGGCACCAAAGACAACTTTTTCGAGTACGCCGACATAGTTCACATCGCACTGCACCGTGCGGGAGGGGTGACGCCTATGAAAACACCATACACAACGGACGGACCGATGGCCTTTTACAAATTGTCGCGAGCTGTGAGGACGTGGCCAAGTTGAACCGCCTCGTCAAGCCGTGCAAGCCTTGTACTTGTACTGATGACTGTGTTTTCGGGTCTTCAAAAAGGGCATCTACTTTCAATTTGAGGGGGTTCTCCCTTCCAATGCCTATGACGGTGGAACTTGGGCGGCGGCATGCGACTGCAATATTACATCCAACAAGCCCGGGTTGGCCGTGATGGCCCGGGGGGGGGGTCTTAGAAGCCAACCCGACCACCCCGGCACCAACGTCGACTACCAACATACGTGGGTCGCGTTTTACAACGACCACAGCACGGCCGACATGATGGTTTTGCGTGGGGGTGCCCCACTTGCAACGAGTTTGGGATTTTGCTCAAACATCTCCCACTCCAGCCCCACTACACAATATTGTCAGATCTATCGAAACTGAAAACCCTCGGCAGAATCGATTGACGGAATAAAGAACCGCCTAAACCAATCAAAACCACGTTCTGTCAAGTTTCTGCCAATCAAATCATTTTATTGGAGTCCCTCCGCATTAGGCAAAGCCATATATATATAAATATTTGTATACTATAGTTTGTACAAGCTTAGAGTTAGTATTCGGTCAAATGAATTCGAATGCTATACCACAGGTGTTGGACGACGTAGTACTGGAGTCATGTAAAATTAGAAAATAAACCAAAGTAAGGCATGCTTATTGATGTGCCGTGACACCCGAGAAAGTTTGATGTATTATTTCGATACGGTTAGTACTACAACTCGGTGTACATATCTTCTATCTGTCGATGCAATTGTCAAGTAGTCTACAGCTTGGACAAGCTTGGAAACTCCGTGACGAGCGCTGCCAGGTCCATCGACTGGGGTCCACCGAGGGGTAACTTTCGAAACGCACCAATTTTGGACGCCAAGTCCTCCAATGCCGTGCCCTATATACCATGTAAATATAGCATGAAGAACAAACAAAATCAAAATTCAGGATTGTTCTTACCGTTCGATATTGCTCCGTCAGCCGAATCTACGCATAAAGTTCATCAATATATCTATATATATATGTTTATTTGTGTACCACTGAGATCTTGTGCTTGAGTTGGCCCTTGGTTTCATTGCCAACTTGAACCACCCCCCACGTCGTCAAGATCGTCAGTGCATTCGTGAGCGTTTCCATCGAACACGACTCGTAGTATGCAATGATTCGATCGTGGTACATCTAAAAAGGATATATCAATATAAACTGCAACAATATAATAATATTTTTTAAGAGCCTACCAATCCACCACATAGATATATATATATATAGATTGGCATCGATGGTCGATATACTTACATTGAGTGCTCAATATAAATTCCAGCACAATATGAATACATATAACCGAACCAACCAGTCCACATAGATTTATATATATATTGGCATGGATTGTCGATACAGTATTCGTTACTCAATGTGCACTCTTGGGGTGAATAAAACATAAGAAATAGATGAAATACATATTTTTTAAATATTTGTTCGTACCGTTTCTGCAAGCCATTGCATGCGCTTCACGAGCGCCTTCGGAGGAATTCCTTCTCCTGCCTTGATAGCCAGCAAACTCGTGACCGCGACCCAATAGCTGTCAATGAACGGCCACAACACCGCACACAACAACGAGAGTGTTGGTTGGCTGTCGTCTGTGAGCACTACCGTCGGAGTTGCGTTCGCACTAAAATATGCCTCTTAGACAATAAATACCTCCATTTTTGCATGGTTATCTCAATGTTGATTTCATCAAGCAGCTATATGAACTTGTATTGAAACCAAAGATGTACTAAATATAAAGATCAAACGACCTGAATAAGTGTATGGTAGAATACAACAACACGACATCCAATGATTTAGAGCGACACCGACTAGCATCATCAAAACCGACAAATCAAAACTACCAATATTCTTAAAATTCGTTCCAATATGGACGTTCGATAATCGACCAAGGTATTTAGAATATTCTAGCCAATCAAAGTTCGCTAACGAAACATTATTTCAACCAATCATCGATTAGAACACCTTGGCCCTAACAAATCGTTCACATTGTATATTATATGCCACATTCAGCTGAAAATCTGACTCAAAGTACCTGTCAAAATCCAACTTTGAGCAACAACTCGATTATGAAGCAGCCATTCAACATGCAACCTTCGACCGTTACATGCATGGAATACATGAAAATACAATAGAAACCAAATATATATATATATATATATATTACTCAAGGCACACACATAAATAAACGTACCCCTCAACTGCAAACACCCGACGTTGGGTCAGCGTGGTGAGCGCGCCGTCCAACTCGCTGCGACTGTCGACATATTCCTTGCGCACGAATTCGACTGCCAGCAGCTCATGCAGAAACAGCGCGTGCTGAAGCAAGGTGTCCTTATTACATCCACTGGACGCCATAGCCTACCATCGTGTCAATTTAACATATCACGACTTTACACTCATTTTAGAAGCATTAGAAAACATTTTATTCATATAAAACATATAAATATAAAGCGCTTGATACGTAACATTTGTATTAATTCAGAGGGTATCCATACCGAGCCTTGGTTGTTGTTAGTACTCAACGCGTGAAATGTGCACGCGACCACGCCTTCCTTGTAAAACCAGTGCAATATCTTGTTGCGGTAGTACCCCAACCCAATCATGTTGGAGTATTGCTCCCTCTACACACCATAAAACGATGGTAAGGGCATATATATATTTAATAGAAACCAATATATATAATATAGCATCACACTGGTAAACATCATCGATTTATCACACGCCGAAATAAAATAAAAATTCAACGTCGGGTCGTACGTTGGTGATGGCTGGTTCAACCAAGTTGGACCGACGCCAAAAGATCAAGTTGCCGAGCAATGTCAAAGCCCTACGAGCAAAGCCATGGATTTTGAGATATATATTTCATGACATAATATATATATATATTAAATTAAGTTACCGTTCCGTCATGGCCGCTGGCGTCCGGCCCTGCGACCCCAACACTCGACCCCCGCGGGCCACAATTTCAGTTCGCAACCAGTTGGTTTGTACAATCAATTGCTCTCTACACACAAAACCATGAGAAAAATATATATCTCCTTTTCAGATATACATATATTGTCAATTCGATTCGAAAAGGGAGTGGTGACAACCCATCGACGAATCAAAACCCAGACCCATAATCAAGTCGCCAATCCAACTTTTGAACAATATATAGTGTGTGATTGAAATTAGTGTGAATGGCAACACCACGCTTCACATATACCATATCCGTACAACAAATCGATCGATGGGTGAACCCAAAGTAAAAAAATGATTGTAAAGGCAATATATAGCGCGTTCCTGGTATGCATAAGTCTAGTAGTACTACCTATCGACCCAAACCAAAAAATTAGAGATCAAAACTAACTAGCCCATGACCGTTGTACACAAGTGCCAACCACCATCACGGAATTGTCATATTAAAAATATGATAATAATAAAGTAATAATATTAATAGAAATAGAAATTAAATAAAAAATCGTAAGTTAGCATATTCTTTTGTACGAATACCAATTGAAACAAACCTTCGACACTCTACTATGTACGTACTTGGACACTCCGTTGCGAAACATGAGCAGAATTGTAGCCACCAAGTGACAAGGTGTGCACGTTGCACGTTGGATCATCGCGTCTGTGACAGAGTACGCCAAGTCCGTGACCAGAGACACGGTTGATCCAGTTTTAGCGTCCACGGGAGGAGCAGCTTTGTAGGTCGCGACAAACTGCTTGAGGTGGATGGGACTCCCAAAGCGAACGGACACGGAGCCAAAGTCCTGGCGCAGCACTTGGTATGATTTGAGCAACGCGCCCACCGACTAGAACAAACGCAATTATATAGTATTCAAAAGACGTAAAAATCGATATAAATATATTTATTCGTCACAACTATATATATATACATATTTATTTATGTATATATAGTTGTATTTACTTATTTATATATATATATTACATCACATGGAGGACAGTCAGACAGTCAACGAGGAATGTCATGAATCAACACATCCAAACATGAACATAATATTTATTCATCACATGTGCAGTGTTAGCAACGATATATATATATATATCAACCCCATATGGAGGAGTGTCAGACAGTGGACGAGGAAGGCAACATATAGGAAAGACTGTGATAAATGAAAAATCTCCAAATATGGCAGGATAGATATTGATGATAAATATGATCGTTTGTTTGGTGATGGTTTACGTACTTCTTTCACTTTGCCTTCGCCGAGGAGTTCCTTTTGATGTACCGACAGCTCCACGGGTTTGTCATAGTCAATGGTCACGGGCACAATGTGAATCTACCAAATATTTAAATATATATATATATATATATTCATAGAGTACGTTGTCGACACGGCCAGCTTCAAAGCACTTGACAACCGTCGAAAGCATGCCAAATTGGGGCGGCAGCTGCTTGCCACTGCGACTTCGCGTCCCTTCCAAGAAGAACTCGACCGTGTGGCCCTTTGTCAACAAGTACTAATGCAACAGATAATATATATTCCCATGTGTTAGTACGATATAATTACTCTAAAGTGTCTATCAAAAATATACAAAACATCATCGTATTTCATATATACTGGCATACTGTCCATTACCGACTATTATGCTTTGATCGAGCAGTGATTTGAAAAGTGTAACACAGACACCATATATTACATTCCTTTCGGTTGACACATTGAAACGATATAGATAATGTATAGGCCATACGTGTTTTGATGCAAAAGTACATCCACACACTGTATTGTATCGGAAAAATACTAGACTTTATAGTGTATAAACCTTTTAGCACACCTACACACAATATAAACAAACATATATCTCAAACAATTCTACTTTCCAAACAAGGCACCAACCAAATGACATAGTTAACGCCCATACAATGATAACAACATTCAAAAAGTAAATATATATATATCGTAAATATATTTATATATATGTACCTGGGTGTACTCGGAAAACACTGCCGTGTACAACGCGTCGTCTTTGAACGACCGCCGGACAAAGAAGGCCCCGCCCTCTCGCAACACTTGGGTCATGGGACTACGAATACATTGTATATAAATACTATATATTTCAATAAATAAATATATACCCCATGTTGAGAAAGTCTTCGCCGGCAAAGATATGTGGCACGGGGATGTTGTACGCAAAGAAGAGGTACGTCATCATGAGAAAATCAATGTACGACCGATGGGTCGGAATGAGCACCAGCGGCCCTTCCCTTGCTTTGACCAAGTTTCGAATGGTTTCCAATCCGCCTTCGTCCACGATGATCTTGTCGTACATTTGACGCCACACCTATCCATACATACATATATATATATATATATATATATATAGAGCAAAAAATATATATATGTAAAAAGAGCAATATACATATATATATAAAAAGAGCAATATACATGTATACTGTATATATTTATTTATTTTCAGCACAGTTCAACACTAGCCCATACGTTCGAGATCGACACGAGAAAGAACCCAAGCGAATATACGTATAGCATGATACGAACTCCATCACGGAAGATAATACATCATATGAACAAACATAACACACGATATATTCATCGTTTATGTTCGATTCAAAGCCACAATTTAAACACCAAGGACAGTCACAGTATTTGCTACTTGGAAATGGTGCACCTTCTCCTCGAATTAGTGTGTGATGGACCTCGTCGCAATCAATATATGGTAGACAACATGTACCCCAACAACACAACACATTGGCGCAAAGAAAGTCGTCAGCAAATCCTACCTTGGAAATATTATATAGTACTAAAATATAGAGGTAGGTAGGTAGGTACCCCTGTGGCTGGTTTTCAAAACTCATATTCTCAGCCTGGATTCGTTTCATCATATTGTTGTGGCTATTCTAAACTGGAGCGACATGGATAGAATGAATTGACATAACCAAATAAATGTACACAAGAATCATCGGCAGAAGGATTTAGCCAACCAGCTTTCAGGAAACTATCATCAACGTCAAATTAGTGTGTGACTTCAATTAGTGTGATACCAATCACCACAGCACATCTTTTTAGATACAAAATTCAGTAGAAAGAATCGATCGAGATAGATTTATCAATTCATAACCAAAGTCCAAATTTTGGGTAAAAATGACAATACTCCTTGTTTGCTCGATGTGTGGACAACAATCCGCCAAAATTGGTAAACTTGGGTAAAACATAAAGTACCTTGCGCAGCAGCCACCCAGCTACTCGGACCGACTTGTAATTGACTGTGGCGGCCATTTTTGAGAGCATTTCGAGCACTTGCGCCTCCATGAGCGCGCGCACTTCCTTGTTTGGGGCGGCTTTCTCTGCATTTTCGATCACAGTTTGCACTGCTTGCGAGTGGAGGACATGATGTTTGATGGCTGAGAGGGGGTCTGCCGGCACCCGCGGCACGTACGTGGCTTCGTGATGAGCGCCCTCCTTCCAGCCTACATCGATCCAAGTGTCCATCATGTACACTTACAAACTATATGGCTAGCATCATCATACACTACATAAAAAAATAAATAGAATATATTTTAAAAAATACATAGCATACGATTTCACATGTTAATTATTTCTTGGGTTGAATTGTATAATAATAAAAACGAAAATGCAATACGTCGAAAGTTCCATCGTGTTGTTAAAAGTTCCAATCTCTGGTTCAAATATATATATATTTCGGAAATCAACAGATTTCGCATACCCGTGAGCCCCATGAACCGACCCCAAATCCCCGCCTTGGTATACCCGGGCTTGCGACTCGAAGTAAACGCCCACGACATATCTGGCAGTAGCCCCGGGAACGAAATCGCATGGTGGTCAGGGTCCCATGCCAACATGCGTTCGGTACTCAGCGCCATCTACATATATATATATATTATATACATTATATACATATATATTTTTATATTTGGTATAGACCACTATTATATCATCACACATAATACATGCACACTAAAGTACGAATCGGTTGGTATCGACGTCGATAATAATCATATATAGGTTGAACGTTTTATACAAAAGGATATATTTTAGATTCACACTATTTCGAGTGTATCGTATACCTCGGTGTGCTGCACCCCTTCAATGTCGACGTCGATCACGTCTTCGTGCAGCAGCCACTTCTTCAACCCCACCGAATAGTTGAGCAAATATCGCTCCCACATGACGTCGTTGGCATCGCAGCACCTGTCAAGTTGCGTTAATATCTTATCCACTCTATCTATATATATATAAATATAAATAAATTCACATATATATAAATACATTTACGTTTCGCAACGACACACTACCACACGATACAACATTATCAATACATGTATATAGTTGAATATTGCATCGTGGTGTGGTTTGTTCTGGTTGCTGTTATCATACCCTATATATGTATGTATATAAAATCATAGAATAGACTTGTATATGTAGATATAGAAAAAAAGTTACATATTATACAACAGGTACATATATATATATATATATATATTTATTTGTATATATATCGAAACACATCTATTCTTATACTTGAAGTATAATATAAACATGTATATATTATATATATATATAACCTCTTTCTAAACACTAATTTCAATTCAAGAAGTCCAAGGAGCAGATATAATCACCACGGGACGTGATAATAGTTCATCGCAATCACTTCCGATATACAAAACACCACCTCATATGTAACCACCTCATATATATGTCAAAACCGCGTCGTCTTGCAATGGTACTTTGAAACTCTTGACCAAAACATCCACAAGTACATGTATCTCAACGGCAATCGACTCTATATATATATATATATATAGTATGTACCAGTGGGTGGAGTTGTATTCAGGCATTGCGCGCAAGGTTTGCAGCCCGTCGGCACTAAATACCCACTGGTTCTCCGTGAATGGTTTGAAGATTTCGACCAACTGCCGCGCGCGCCACGTCAGCTTCCACAGTCGCGACGCTTGGTTCATGTGGTGGACGTTGCCGCTGGCGTTGGCGATCGTCGAGTATGCCGACGACGGCAGCGTATAGCGCAGGAACCTGAGGAAATGTGTTATTACATGGGTACATGATATTTTGAACGGTTTATATACAATATGTCAACCCGCCCCAAGTTTATCTCATCCATCAATGTACAAGTCAAAATATATATATCCAAAATCGTCTGGTTTCCACCACACACACACAAAATATATATATATATAGTCATGTTCTGAACGCACCAGTTGATTTGAAATAATTGATGGCTCGGGAACATGGTAAACGACGGCCGAGAAAGTCCCTTATCCGGTGGGTTTTGCTGAAAATACGACGACACAGTTCCGATGGGCACACGCCATCGCAGCGGCTGCTCGCGGGGGTCGGACGTCCCCGAGTGGACAATTAGAGGGGCGGCTCCCGTCGGTTCTTTGGCCTTGGCGAACGCACTCAACAAGATTGCATTCACCACGAAATCCACCTATATATATATATATTAATAGATTTTTTTTAGTGTTTTTAGTCGAGTTGTTTCACAACGAAAACATATACGTACGGGCACAATGTCGGCAATGCTGCGGGGGTCGCCTGGTAAAATCGTGAGCAGACCCATACCCCCCGCTAGGAAAATGGCTCCCGCCGCGGCCAACTGATCCACCTACACCCAAACCAAAATGATGCAATCTATATTTAATATATTTGTTTTTTCATCAAAAGCACAAAATGAAAAATATTATATGGTTATAGTATTCAATAATACCGTTTGTATTTTTATATGAGTACCAACAACAAGTGCCATGGTTATACTGCTATTCGTTGTTATTGATTTGAATGTCACTATACTACTACTACAAACATATAAATATATACAATTACTACCTATTTCCAACGGTATGCAAATATCATATTGATATATGTTATCTTTAAATCAAATTTAATTAAACATAACGATTTTATCAATCTAAATACAATGTAAGAGTCGATTTTATATTTATAAGCGAAAATTTGTGCAAATGAAAATCAAAGTCTAAGTTATATCAATCCATCATGATACTACAAACCGATATAACGAGAAACCACTTTAGATTGAGTGCGGTGCCAGGTTTGCAATACGATCTCAATACCTAATATACCTATTACGATGGCATTCACCACACAAAGTACTCTTTTGAATTGCATAACTCTCCCCAGATCTATAGCGTTACTCCAATAACGCTAGGAAGCTCAACTGATGAAAGGTCGGCAGTTACCATCAGCACAAACAGAAACAATTTGCAGAAAACGTGATTTCTATGAAAGAATAAACAAATCCATAACATATATACAATGTTCAATCGTCGCACCCGAACTTGTTCTAGTTAGTCTCGACCGGTTAATGTAGCCAATCCTCAACATCGAATTAGCGTGTGACTTGAAATAGTGTGTGCCTTCAATTAGTGTGATTCCAAACACAACCGGCCCATTTTCCATTGAAAAGTAAAAAAAAAAGCATCGATCGATCGATGTGCGAATATCATCCACACACGACACTATATATATACATATACTACAGTCATACAGCCACATCCCCATATATCTATATATATATATATATATTGATTCGTATGTACCCATCCAGGAATCGGCTCCTTCCACGACGCCCCCACAATCGTCGGACGGAGCAGCACCAGCGGCACATGTGCGCGATGCTTGGCGAGCATGTGCTCGGCCATGGACTTGGTCAGCGTGTACGTATTGGGGTACGTGCCGATGAGGTTGAGATGCAGCTTCTCAATGTCTTCCGTGGACGACGCCTGCTAAATATGTCAGCACTCCCCTGTCAACATCGAAACATACCACATATCCGAGTACTACTGTACTAGTATTGTCAAGTCGATTCGAAATTAGAGTGAGATGGGTCCTCAATCGAATGCGCAGAATAAACAAATCGGCAGACAATCGAAAATCGACCAATCAAAAACCACAACACTAATCAAGTGACCAATCAAATTATCCACTCTTTGACGAATGCAACACCAAACTAGTGTGTGACTGAAATTAGTGTTATACTGACAAAGAATCGAACGATAGATTTAACGAATCAGCACAAAAGTCCAAATTTGGGGTAAAAGGGCAATAGTAGTGTCGATTTTGTTTACATTTCCCGATTATTCTCCATGGTTTGTTCCATTGAGCACAAACCACGCCGAGACATCTCATTGGCTAATATCCACTTGGCGAAAATCGAAAATGGAGTGTAGCCAATCAGAGGCAAGTGATTTTTTCAGATTGACCAATGGGAAACGTTGATGCTCGGCTTGGTCGGCGAGGTTCGATAGCACCAGGTCCGGCAATTCATACCGAATCTCCAATACAAGAAAGGGCTTTTCACCCAAAATAGCCCCCAAAAAGCAAACAAGTAAACAGTCGGATTGGCTGAAAACAATGAAGGCTGCCTTATGATTGGCTGAAAAGTATAATGAATGTTGACGAAGATACCTCTAAAACGAAGTATTTTATATTATATTTTGAAGGTCCGACGACTGTTGGGCGGTTCGTGTTTAACCGCCCGCCACAGGAACCTTGGAGTTTAACACACACATTGTCAAATCCATTCGAAACTGGAGCCCTCAGTGGAATCGAATGTCTTAAAAGTTTGAATTAAAGAACAACCGCCTGAGCCAATCAAATCACGTAATTCTGTCGAATTTCTGCCAATCCAAACGTTGGATTCGGCTCAGTCCTTCGGGTAAAACAGATATATGTACACTAACATTTGTATAGTATAGTGTGTACACGATTCAATACGATCAAATAGATTCGAATGTTATTTGGCGACATGACTCTCAAGTCCAAATTTGGGTGTGAAATGCACAATACCAAATTACCAAAACTAATAACAGGTGGTGATAATGTCAAAATAACATTCTTGACAATATATAGAAACAAACAGTACATTAGATGATATGGTTCAAGTGTACCTTGGTGACGGCATCGATGGCGGCTTCGACGTCGAAATCCAATGGGTAGATCTACATGAATGGGTCAGTCGTTGATCATTCATGTCAATTCCACATGATTTAGAAATTCGTATATCTTGCGCAAGGGCCATTTGGAACTACAACAATGTACGACCCCCAGACGCAAATGCTTGGCTACCTTTTCCAGGAGCGTGCAGTTGCGGCGGTTGCTATTCACGTACGCCGTGGACACGTGTACGTATGCCACCAGTCGCTTGATTTGCTTGGAAAAACTGAGCATGTACATCGCCCCCAATGTGTTCATCTAATCGCGGGCGTGAGATGGCCGCCGCTCGTTCAACCCACGGAAACGAGAATCGCTAGATAGTATATGTACTTCCACAGCGACGTCGAGGGGTTCGTTGAAGCTGACACTAGCCGCAGAGTGGACGACGACGTTGACGCGGTCAATGAGAAGCTGGGCGTCCTGGGCAGACATCCCCAGACTCGCCGAGTTGATATCGCCGCCGATGGCCACGAGCTTGGACCGAATGAACGAGTCAAAGTCGGCAGGGCGTTCTGCGCGCAGTCGGTTGAAGATCGGACTAGTCACGATGTGCATACATGACCAAGCAAGGTAGTGGCGACAGACATGGAAAAAACGTACCTGGAGATGATGTCGGACTCGAGGCGGTCGTGCGCGGACCGGCCTTTCTTCGGACGCACCATCACATAGATCTTGTCGATGTCTGGTGTCGACCGAAGTAGTTTCTCGATCAAAGTCTAACGTTGCACAGACACACCATGATGAGGCTATGATGGAAATGACACTCGAAGCCGCAACGCGATGCGATGCAAATGGGACACCACGTCGCCATTGGCATGCCGTGCACTGCTCATGAGGTCCATGTCCACGATGACGTACCTTGCCGATGAAGCCCGTGCCACCTGTCACGAAGAGACCCTTTCCTGCGTAGAACTGTTCCATCGAGGTCGATTGAATATGCGGCGTAACGTCGTCGTCTGGCATGGTAGTTCTGTAGGGCCACAGAACTGACGTCGATTGTTTTGTAAACGAATGATAGCAACTATAGTAGCAATATATATGCACTTTAAAACTTATTAATTATATGGATGTACTTAACTGCATTTATGAACGCAAAATACAGTGATACCACACTCAAATATATGCTCTTAACATGCTCACATACGTTGTACCTGAGCTTACTACATCGACGGAATGTCCCTCCAGCTCCGCAAGTGGACACGCAACCCCAAGACACCAAGAGCCGTATGCATGAAGCCTGGCTTCAGAAAAATACAATGGAATACTACTAGTGGTACCGGTAGTAGGGAAGACGACCAAATATGAAATCATACTTATGGAAATATTCATACTGGCTGCCCTACTATATTTCCCTATTTGACAACGACCCCCTCCCCTACTAATGGACCACAGTTGTTAAGACCACTTTTTGGAAAAATAGATACAGTATTAGGTTTAATAGTTTATATATATACCAGTTTTTACTTACTGTCCGTTTGGGCGAGTCGAATGCAAAGAAATTTTCCACTGGGCCGATTTTAACGCAGTTTTTTTTAATGTCTTCGATCACATATTCTGCTTGCAGAAGCTTCAAGGCCCAACTACAAAACTATGCTCTGCGTTCGCAAGCAACGATTCCAGCGATGAAACGTAGTATTTTAATGAAGTAGACTATTTAAATAGTTAGATTTGCTCAATACTTTTAATAATTTGTACCTCTGATATAGTAATACTATAGATTATTTAACTTTTATTTTATTTTAAGACTCAAGTATAGTATACTCCGATGTACCTGTTTTAAAAATGCGTTTGCATTAAGTACGTTCCATTAGGTGCTGAAACTTCATTTCAAACCTGGTGGAGTTGTATTCATTTCCAGGCAATATAAAACCCCTCACGGACTGCACGTTAAACTCCTGAATTCAAATATACCTTTGGATCGACGAAATACCTCCTAGGGTAAAAGTTATGGGAGAAACCATTCTTGCATTCCTTCCGCCCAAACGGACAGTAGAGATAATGAGGGATTTACGAAATGTAAACCCTTATAATCTTATCTTTCGCTTGCAGCGATATAGGTAACGTTATTTGTATTTGCCACACACTTTGACTCTGCTGGATCCGCGCACACAAGAACGATGAATGATACGCATGTAAATCAAGGTTGTATGTCATCTTGTGTACAGGTAGTCTACACTTGCTAACTTCGCTATCTTTTCTTTCCAATAGAAGCGTTTGGCCAAGACGAGACGATGGACGACACTCTCAGGTACGCCAGAGCTCAGCGCAAGTTTTAAAGTGTACACTATAGGCTACTTTACTGTAGTCGGTGTCATCCATGCGCCTTGCCTTGCGCGAGAAGGCGCCACTCCCGTGCCGCATCCTTGGATTTCCAATCATAATGCAGTTTGATTTGATAGATTATCTTTATTTACCTACCGGTATGTAAGGACAATCACACGTTAATATGATATCACTACTGTATGTATGTAGTTTGCAGCCAAGGACCGTGGAAGTCTTCCAGTGGAGCACCGCACTTGACCATAGGAGAGCTTTCTGTGCATTCAGGCTTCAGTAGTCCCCGCAAACCCAATAACTAGGTAATTTATAGCCATACTATACGAGAAATGAGACAGAATCATCGTTGAGTAAGCCCCAGAGAAGATTTCGTGGAATCGCCCATGTCGCGGGACGTGGCGCAGGTAGCCTATTATAATGACTCTGTTGTGGGAGCTGGTGGTATGGTGCACAACAAAGGGCACGAGTGCTTCTCGCCATCTGACACCTTGCTCGACTGACCGATTTCAGCCAATATCTTTCCCGGAGGCATGTCAAAACAGACAGATGTCTCGTCGATGTTCAGGATGTGTTTTTTGTCGTAGTGACCGCACTTGTTCCAAAACGTAGCGGCGTAGCCAAGCCACACCTCGTCCAAGACTTGTTGAGTGGCCTTGCTGATGCATGGAATTCGATGACGAAAGCGGTTGCGGTATGCGAAGCGCAGGAGTAGGCAACGAAACGATTTGTACGCCACCGCCTCGTTTTTTTTGTGAGCAGGTACACCGTGAGCCATTCTCGCTTGTTCCTCTTGACCCACTGCATGAGGTGGAATGCTCGGATGTATCGCTCGGTGCCGCGGCGATCGCGCATGTATGCGAGCAGCTCGTCCTTGAACGGTATGAGTGTCGTGTGCCCTTGGCCGCCCAATGCGGCAAGGCGGTTGTGCCTCTTGTTCGACATGATCTTGTCTTCCTTCAGTCGCCACCCTTGCCATGTCGAGTAGGCAAGATGCTTGTCGCGGCAGAACTTTTGCTCGCTTGTTTCGTTGGCTTCGTGAAACTCTTGGAGGAGGGCCTTCCGTTGTCCGTTGGTGTATCGAAGCTGGTGTCGTTTGCGTTGCTCCATTTCGAAAGTGATTGAGAGGACTGCGTGGCAGGTTGTGTTGCTTTTAAACATTTGAATCCAGCCAACTACAGACAATCTTGTTTGTGATTGGTTGGTTTATTACAATTTGATTTAACCAATCCATGAAGGGTGTTCTACTTCGGCACAATTACAAAATTATTTAATTTTTGTAGAGTTGCCCTGACCGAGTTTTACCGCGGACCAGAGTATGTCCTCGGTGGCCGGCGCCGCTGGGGCCTTGCGTTTGGTCTATGGCATTGCTGTGTTAAGATTCTGAAACTGTGTCCGGATACTCGATTTCGTAAAACCCTGTACTAGTATATCTCTGGATATAATTTTGGCATAGAAATATCACATCTAAATAGAGTGATTTTGCTAACAGTAAGTAAATTTACCTCTGAGAAAATCACTTGGGTGTCACACAATGAAATTTGTTCCAGAAATTTCGTCGTCATTACTCCTCACAGAGACAACAAAATTCGCTGTGAGGAACATTGACCATTGTACAATGGAAGAGGATAATGAGTCCGAGGTACAGGCAAGCCAACGACGCAAAACTGCATTCCGCTTTAAGGGTTGCACGGATGTTGAGTTGCTGAAGGAGGTCATACACGTTCGGCCCTACGAAGCACCCCACGGAGAGGTCCGCAAGCGATGGACGAAAGTAACAGAGCATCTCCAGCGCCTCCATGGAGTTGGAATCACAGTGAACGCCACGCGAAAACGATTTGACGACCTGATGACGGCGTTTCATGCCGACAGTATGGCCGCGCTCCGCGTATCTGGGACGGACGAAGAGTACGAGGAACGCGCGCAGCTACTCCAGGATATCCACGACTTGGTATGACTCGTCATGGAATACGGTGTTAATCGTTATCCTACTTTTTTAGGTTGATGCTGATCGATTCGAAAGCAGACGGACAAGGAGGAAAAGGCGAAACAGAACGAGCGACACGAAACGAATGGTGAGAAGATTCGCGACGCGGCGATGTCAACCATGAAAAGGAAGTCGTTCGAGGTGGTCGAAGTTGACGGGTGCGAGGACGCGCCACCAAACAAGAGACAGAGCCGCGGCAGTTCACATAGGGTGGCGGAGGCGGGTGTAGTTGTTGCTTCTCTGGTCGAGATGGTGGCCAAAGCCAACGAAATCAAGGCCGAGGAGGTCCGAACTCGACAAAACGGAGCGTGAGGCGCGGTTTGCCTTAGAGCGACGTGAACGGGAGGCTCAGTTAGAGTTTCTACAGGGAACTCTTGAAGTGCTGAAATCTTTAGTTACCAAAAATTGAAGTTGTTTCTCATGTTGAAATGGTTAACATATCTTATGAGCTCAGTTTATTCTGTCTAGCGACCCTTGGCGTAATGATATTTTTCGGCATTTGGGGGGCGTAAACCGAAGTAGTCAGAAACTTGGTTTCCGCCTTTAATGCAAGTATGAAGATTTGTCAAAATAGCAGCAACAACCTACTGCATACCGACGTCTTGCCCCCACAGTTTTTGACCATCTGCATGATCTACAAATGTCCAAAGATTTCGGACAATTCCGAAGCCCCACTCTACACTCACACGAACAGTGCTCATGCGACTGTTGAACGCTGACTGATATTGGTCCAGGCGCGCCCCTTTGTAGCCGCAAACAATGACATCGTTCGCACCATACGCCGGATCCCCGTAAATGACATATCGCTTCGTGTCAGTCACCAGCACGTCCGACAAAACGGTAAGAATTTCACTTTGCTCAAGCAAGTACGCATCGTGTCGGGACCCTGGTTCAGGGCTATATAAATGGACGATGATGCCATCAGGGGTTGTGATTGATTGGAACTTCAATGCATGCTTTCTCTACAATTAGAAATGATTAATTTGCATTCGTACGCTTGTGAGGTTTATCCATATGTACCTTGTGGCCATTGTATGCTGTCTTTTGGACACCTTTACCGGGACGGCAAATGCCACGGACAGTGCCATCAATGAAACCGATGCAGCAATCGAGAGGGGCGCCGCTGTCGTGTATGGCTGAAGCACATTCCATCTATGATGCGTTGAGGCGGTCTTTGTCCCAACGGAGTAGATGCTTGAAGCGATCGTAGATGTGGCACATGACTTCGTTTGAAAGTACCGAGAGAGCTTCTCGGCTGCGGCCAAAGAGCAAGACCATGGTCCCGAGGCGGTGAGGCCACGCCAAACGGTTGAGAAGAATGCAGAGAGCCTCCACAGCACTGGCATTACAGCGCTGGGGTGTGATCATCGGGTCGGGTATCTCAAGCAACGCCATAAGCAGTTCAATCTCAGCTTTGCTGAACCGGAAATGGGAGTCACACGTGGCATCAGTTTGTCCCACTAGGTTAAACCTGCCTCGAGGAATTTGTATCGCCCTCGTCTGCGGCTCAGAAGCATCGAGGAGCAACGCTACTTCTGTCAGTAGTATGCTTCCTTTGTCCATAGGAGGCGAGTGCAGCTCACAGGTAAATTTACTATCGCAAAAACATTTCGCACAGCACAATTTTCTGTGGAATTTTCTCGAAATCTCACACTGAAAACTGCAACAGCAAAATCACTCTAATATGTCCACTATCTGGGTTTACGAAATTTCGTGTTTCGTATCTCCAATTGTATCCAGCACATTTATTTCGTAAAACATATATATTTTATGATTGAACTCTTACTCAGAGTTTGTATACTCGTCCGATGAGTAGACCTCTTGACCAATGACTGAGCGTTTGTCGATAGACCCATCTCATTCCAAACTCACTCTGTCAAATTGTATTCAATCCTTCCATAATTTTGTGCCACTATTTTAACGAAATGACTGAGTGATTAACCAATTGACCGAGTCACTTCCTTTCGATAGAGTGACTTTACCGTGCTTCGTATGTTAAAGAGATCACGATGTTAAGAGCATCAAGTGGTACATCCTCCATCTTTCTATATTTATCACTCAAAGTGGATATATAATGTTTTGAGGTAAATGGTCAAAAGTTTGCCTCACGGAATTGATTCCTCTCAATTCAAATATATATTGTAAATGAGAGGTGTCTTGGGAACGTCACAGCCATCAAACAGTGCACCCAACGTGCCGCGTTGCCGCAAGCGTCAAACTAGTACCGGTAGGCAGCCACACGGAAGCACAAAGTGAAAAACTGAGAGCTAGGAGCGTAAGCAAACAGGCAAATGAAAGCCCATTTGAGAGGAAGCATGATTCACTAATATTCAGCAGGTGCATGAGAGGACAATGGAGAGGATGGACCGCATTAGAGCACTACATTAACGACACTATATTGCAGCAGTGCTGTTTATGTGCTGTATCGATACTACTACATGTGTGTGACTACTACTACATGTACGGCTTGTGTGATGAACGAGGGGTTAAGGTACCGGTAACGTTACTAGTACTATCGGTTATGTGATGGTGGGGAGCGTGAAGATATGGCGCACAAGGTAGACTGAAGTTATCGTTGGAACTGCGTGATGCCGTCACCGCGGTCACCAAAGTAAGATGTCATGTTGTTCTCGAGAACACCGTGACGGCTCAACACAACCGCTGAGGACAGAAGACCAGGGATCATAGTCCAGGAGGCATCCGAACCTACTATAGGAATGAATCAATGATGAAGTTGCTTGTCTTGTACTATACCGCTGTTGACTGGTCGCGTGCAGAGCGGCCATGGCCCTCGGCACTTGCACCTCGGCACTTGCACCTCGCCACTTGCACGTCGCTGGTGACACCAATGAAATAGCCAATATGGTCTCCTAAATTCTATAAAGACTCACCTCTATACATAACACTACCTCTAATATCAGATAATTATGTCACGAAATGCCTAAATTATTGATATCTAGAAATTTGTATGACGCTCTTAACATCCACAACTTGAACTTCAGCATACACTGGATAACCTCTTTAAATTTGTATAAATTTATACACGTGGGGGCTTCTCTTAACATACGAAGTACGGTATATTTAATTGCAACATTTACCAGTCTCATAGTCAAAAACGTAAAACAGTGTTATTCGACAAAAAAATTGATACTGGTATTCTACTATTAATCAAAAATACCGCTTGCATCATCACTATCAAAATCGGCAGCAACATCTACATGCTCACTAGGAAGTACAATACCTATTCGATGCTTGCGCTTTTCGTGATACTTGGAAATGGTGCTGGCCCTCTTGTGTTTCACTCTCTCACCAATTGAGATCAATCGATTGTAGTACCTATTGAAATCTTCTCCAACTCCGTCGCGCCGTAGGTTAAAACGAATATGGACATTCGTCAGAGCAACACAAGTTTGAAAGAAGACGTCGTAATGTTCACGCTTCCACGAATAATTGTCGCTGACAACTGACCAAAGAGTCTTGAGACGCCCAAAGAAGTTCTCCACGATGACACGATCGCTTGAAATCTTGTCATTTATTGCAATGTCCGAGGCACACAACAACCCCCCAACTGGTCGTTTCGCCGGCGTAATGGGACGCAATTGTCGATGGAGGCCTTGGTGCCCCTTGTCACCAAGCAGTGTCCAGGAGTCTGGATACTCATCACATAATGGACCATGATCCCATGATCCACCATGTCTACCTCATCACTTCGTTCCTTCATTGCCGCGGTGTGAAATGCCTCGTTGGATTGACAAATGGATATATCCGAATGGCTTCCAGGGACAGCTGAGGTAACATTCACGCAGAGGCCATTGGGGAGCACACTTGCCTCAACCTTAACCCCATACAGGCCATGCTTCTTGCTGAAGTACCGCATCGTCTCGGAAAATGATCCGGATGGTGCGTTGGTTTGTTGGAATGTTACATCCACAGCATATAACGCCTTGGGAAAGTACTTGAATCGTTTGTGCTTCTCGTTGAGGTGTTCCATTGTCCATATCGACAGTACGCGGTCAACGAACTTGCCCATCAAGCATGGGTGGATCGCGAAGATGAATCCAGTGACACGCTTCGCGAAGGTGGGTGTCTTTTCCTTGAACACTGCAGCGACAACATCCCAGGATCCACAGTGTTTCATGCTCGTTAGTGCCATGAATAGCATGTCACGGCCAGAAACATTGCATTTACGACCGGATCCAACATTCCAGTTCTGGTTGACGAAGGGATGAAGGTCGTGCCAAAGCGTGTTGAATTCGGCTTGCGAAAAATTGGTAAGGAGCGCGGTGACAGCGGCCTTGAGCGGCAACAAAAGCGTCAAGCACTGGAGATGGTGAGTCGTCGTGGTCGTCATCATCGTCGCGAGGGGATGCAGAGTAGCGGAGGCGTTTGGACTGCCGAGAGGTTTGCAACGCTGCCAAGAGGTCCACGGCCTGTCCGATGGTTCGGTTGTTTAGCGCGGATGCAGTTCGCGACGAGGGCGCGGCAGCGAGGGGTAGGGGTGGGACGGGGACCATTGAGCGAAAATTGAGAAATGCTCGCTGTGAAACTTGTCTGTGGTGCGTTTTCGCGCTAAGTGCATTGCCATTTTCGCGGCTAATTTGTGTGACGTGTTGATTTTTTCAGTTTTGATTGGGCGATTACATGGTATTTTCTCAATAGCTTTATTGTATTAGTTACTTCGAAGTATAATTTTATTGACTTCCGAAGTGACAGAGTGATTTCCAAAGTCAATGGTTGCATAATATTTCACTTAGTAGCCACTCCAGGACTGTATCTATGCTCATGTGGTGAGGTATTAACCAGAAGGTCTGTATATAACATATGACTCCGTAATTGCCCAAGGACGAAATAACTTAAAATTATGTGCTGTCAATTCGTAAATTGATTCGTCTATCGCGATATACAAAGTCACTGGTTTTGAGGCTAAGTAGTCTTTGCCGCCAACTTCGTCGTCCAGATTGTAGTTCGTCTTGATGTATATCAGTTTTGTCACGGTACTGGGGCTTAGTATATCCCGCTTCTTGGACTGGATGAAGCCGTGCATGGAGAACTTATGTTCGGAAGCAGCACTGGGTGCAACAAGGTTGAAAACGCGAAGTGCTACCCCGCCATCCCAACTACCACGCCGCCACCGACTCCGTGTGCATTCGCGACCCATTGTTTGAAGTCTGCCGGAGGCTATGCCCAAATCTTTCCCGCGACCCTGTTACCGCCGGCGCCGTCCCGACTTCCGCCGTCGCCGACTTCGTGTGCATTCGCGACCCGTTGTTTGAAGTCGGCCGGAGGCTATGCCCAAATCTTTGACGTTGCAGTCGTTGTGGTCACGCAATCAAGTTGAAGAAGCGATGGGACAACAAGTTCGTCGTTATTGGTGGGTTTTACTCTGTACGGCACCCTATTGGTCGGGAACTTTCAATGGTGACCATTTTGCAGTTTGCGGTGTCATGGAAACGTGTTCAGTGTGCGGCGCAGACGACGGCCCAACCCTCCGACAGTGCAACATGCGTGCGTCCAAGTTCCATCATATGTGCATCGTGGAAAAAACCGCGAAGAACGGGTGGCCCAAAGCGGAAGAAGGTCAAGGACTGTGTGCTGTGCATGCGGTGCCATCATCAGCGCAAGACGTGCCGCCGCCTGCGAAGAAGTGAGGACGTCAGTAGGGAGCGAGGAACAAGGCGAAGGTGCAAGATGTGCAAGGCGAGTCTACACCGAAGAAGCGTGAGCGGCCACCGAAGTCGTCGGCAAGTGCCAACATGCCGTCAACGCCATCAGAGGGGGACGTCACGCCGATCCCAGTCGGGGTATCCGAGTTTACCCCCGACCACAAGTCCATTCCATCCGAGACAATGTTTCGGAACGTGTCGTTCAGGCCGCTACGAGAGACGCAAATCCACAAGAACGACAAAAAACTGTTTGCCTTCTACGCGGATTGCCAAGAATTCATGCTAAGTGGTGTGATGACCGAAGTGCGCTACGTTGTTAGCAGCGAGAACTATCCCGACATCGACACGTCGGGCAAGAACACGAAAGCCGAGGCCAAGGCTATTGTGGCGTTGTACAAGATCACTTGGAATCACACACGGTTTCAGCGCGACGAGCCGTGGATTACTGCGCCCTGTTTTACAAAGGTGTGTTGCATGTACATGTATGTTTCTTATGCATTCTAGGCGTGGAACAGTTTGCGACTTTGAAGGCGAACCAAAGTATGAACGCAGGACGAAGTTACCTGCAAATCTCCTTGTTCAAGCCGAGGACGAGTCGCACGACCTGACTGAGTGGGACAAGAAGTTCCTTGCGAACAGTTCATTCGACGAAGAGACCAAGAGTGACGAAGAAACCAACGACGGCAGTTTGGCGCCGCAAGACGACGACGGCAGCGGGGACGAGTGGTCCGAGTATGTGGACCGTGGTTGGAAGAAGTACGGGCACTACGACGCGACAGAAGACATTGAAGGACTCGAAGACGTGGAATGGACGTGCGGAGGACATTACGCCGGGCTTACATACCTCTACGAACACGAAGACAACAAGGACGACACGCCCGTCGACGAGTTGCGCATTTCGGAAGAGTTCAAGCATCTATTCAAGGTCCCCGTCAAAGGTTTCCTGGCGTTCATGCCGCTGGAGTTTTGGAAGGCCTTGGCGCTGCAAGCAGCGCATCCGAAGGGCTACGTAGGTGGGCGCGAGTTCAAGAAAAGCATCGAGCTGGTGGAAGTCATGAAGTTTGTGGGCCTGCTTATCATGATGAGTGTCGTGAAAGGTGGTGAGTACAGTCTGTATTGGTCCAAGCCGAGTATGTCGTTCCTCATGCCGCTGATGGAGAACTTCGGCCGCGTCATGCCGATCGACTGATTCAAGCAATTGTGGGCGTGCATCACATTCAACGACGTGGTCGAGCCCGCAGACCCACTTTGGCGCATTAGGCCACTCATCAACCTGTTGAAGGCATCGTTCAAGAACTTCATCGTGGCCGGCCGCGAGATCAGCGTGGACGAAGCATGCATTCCGTGTCGTTCAAGTTATGCGCGTGCGCTTATCGTCTACAATCCCGAAAAACCTTTGGGCAAGTACCACTTCCGCATTTACACGGGGGCGTGTGCAACTACGTTGTATGTCTTTGCATTCAAGATCCACTCCAAGGCTGCCCGCAACTTCGACGAACCAGACGACGACGATTACGGCGGCGGCGATGATAGCAAGGTTGACCCAGACTATGGCGCGGAACACCTGCGGGGTGAAGTCAAGCCAAGCGTATGGCGACAACACGACATCGACAATGGGAAGGTACAGTTGTTATTATGTCATGCATGTAGTCTTATGCATTCGTTGTAGGCTCACATATAGTGATCAACATGGACAACTGGTGCTCGTCAGTGCAGTTGTGTTTGACGCTGCTCAAGATGGGCATGTATTGCCGAGGAACGGTTCGAAGCAACAGAGCGCACAACCCACGGTTCGGCATGTTCGACAAGAAGCAGATCAAGTCCGTCATGCGCAGTTCAAGTCTAGTGTCCGTCGCTACATCTTTTGGCATTATTGCCGTTTTCTGGCTCGACACAGTCGTGAACATGCTATCTACTGCGGATGCAACTACGAAGTCGTATGTCCATCACCGAATTGGAAGGTACGTGGCTACATCATGGTATCTCATGCTAAATTTAACCAACCCTTAGTGAAACTCGCCAACAAGAATCCTATCACTCGTGGGTCTGTACAACAAGTACATACAAGATGTGGACCCCACTATCAACTCCGCGAACGGTTATCGATCGCGTCGGGTGCAAGTTTCAAGCACTGGTACAATAAGCTCGGGTTTGCACACCAGTGAATCGACGCGACTCGCACTTGCATTTCCAAAAAAGCTCGCGAACCAAATGCTATTTGAAACGGATTGAACATTGTAAGTTATCCTCTATGCTACGTTGCTTCCTCACACACTCGTAGGTTTTCGGAGACCCAAATACCAATGGAGTACGCCAACGTACCAATGACTCAGACTGCGAAGGTTCTCAAAAATGCGGCGGCCGACAAGGTGGCAGCCGAAGACAAAGCAGCTGCTCTGATGCGCGACGCTTCTCTTCGGCAGCCGCCAACGCCCTCCATCACTTGTCGGGCGACGGACAAGCAAACGGTAGTGTCGTACGACCAGCGTATGCGCAGTTACTGTGTCGTTTGCTACTTCGAGCGGAACAAAGAACTCATCAAGACGCAGTGGTGCGACGTGCACAAAGTGTACTTATGTACAAAGGCCTACGTGCCAAGCGACCAGCAAGTCCCGGCGCACGTCTGCCTCCATGCCGCGTGGTCCTGCTGGGACAAATTTCACTCGTTCTATCACCCGAAGGGCCTTTTCAAGAAGGACGGCAAGATGGATCGAGGCAACAAACTGTACAGATTGAAGAAGCATAGTGTGATGGAACACAAGGCGAGCAGCGCGAAGAAGACTCCCATTTTACTTAAGAGCTGTAAGCCGCCGATCAAACATGAAAATCGCGCGATCGGATCATAAAGTTGAACAATAAAAAACATAACTGCAAAGTTACACAACTGGGATTGAACCCTAGACCTTTCGCTTCTAAGCACAACGACATACCACTGAGCTACTGGAGCAGTTGAATTTTTCATTTGTACAAGTCAATAGATGTATAAACCTAACCTGAAAATTCAACAAAAAATGATAACTGTAAAGGTAACCCGCGGAGATTGAACCCGGTACCTTTCGCTTCCCAACCCAACGACATACCACTGAGCTGCAGGAGCAGTTGAATATTAGATCCCAACAAGTCAAACAAACCTAACGCGCAAACCTTTTCTACCAATCGTTGAGTTTCCTCACGTACAGTCTCTCAACTGCCGTATAAACAAATTTGAATGGTCTTGCCTCTTTCCATTTTCTCCCTGGTTAGCTATGACAAACACGAACATGTCCATGCAATTCCTTTGCAGCATGGCCTTCACGGCCATCGCCGCTGGGGCGGTGCAGATGGTGGCGGCGCCCGATCCGTCGTGTCGTGAAACGGCAACTCAGCGACGTCGCCGCCAACGCGAGGCATCAGTGCAGCACCGCTTCCAAGTGTACGAGGATCGTCTGTCCAGCAACCGCAACGACCGACCCTACTACGATGACCGCCGTAAAGACCGACCGTATTACAACGACCGCCGCAACGCGGACTACTCGTTATCTGGCCGTGGTGGTCCAGGCGGCGGCCGTCCCCGGTCTCCTTCGCGTCAAAATGACCGCGGCCACCGCCCACACTCGCCCGCCAATACAAATGACCGCAGCCAAGTGCAACCTCGAAACGCCGCATGGGGTCTATCACCACCATCAACCCGCAACGGTGGATGGGACATGCCTATCATTGTGGAAGATGCCAACGCACTTGAAGATGCGACATCTGCTGCGTCGCCCGAAGCCGGTGCCGTGCCCGCGCCGTCTCAAATAGCCGAAGTGGATGCCGTCCCTACGCCGGAGGAAGTCGCGCAAGTTGTTGCACCGCCGACGATCTTGTCGTTGCGCCGCTCGAAGGAGGAAACAAGATCATGAATATGATAAGTTCACGTTTTCATGCATGACATAAGATTACCTCGTGATGTGACAAGTTGTCTTTTCCGTCGGATCCCAAGGCAATTCTCACGCAAAAGTTGAAGCGAGTACAATACTTTGAGATGAGCCCAATAACTATTGGCTGGAATTTTTTGTTACTACACTGCGAATCGCACGACAATGGGTTATATCTTTTTTAAATTACAGCTTGATGTTCAGAATAAGAAGCTTCATTGGCCAAAATATGCTGGCTTTATCGTACTATTCGTGTGATTCATTGGCTTAGCCACCAAACTGCGAATCGCAGGGCGGTCCACACGTCCGGATTATGTCCGAGAAATTGATTCTGTTCGAGAATTCGATGCGTTACCGTATTGTGATTTTGCTACGTGAAATTTCCTGTAAAGTTCGTACCTGGAGCCTTTCGATCTGCTTATATTGGGAAATTCTTGACGATACTATATTCTGTCAGAATTTCTGACTGGGAATACCTTTTCACACACAGTAGCCAATCAAAACACTTGTACATGCTAAATTACCAATTTAGCTTCATGGATGAATGGCATATTCGGTTGGCACATGTAAACGTCGATGAGCGGTAGGTAGGTAATACTGTAGTAGGTGAGCGAGGATAACGTAGGCAAGTGGTGGGGTAGTGCCGAACGTAAACCAGCCAACAGATATAACGTATCCATGTGTTCATCGATGTGATACTTAGTGCAATATGGTCTATTAACAGAAATAGCTCAAACATCTAAACTTATTCCCCTGCATCCATCAAAATAATACCTGCATCCAACGCATCCACAATTGCATCCACCAATGAATTTGTTTTTTGAAAATGCATCAACCAGTACGATTAGAGTATATCCACCCAGAAATTATTCAAGTGCCTTGGTTGGAGGTTGGAGGTGCTTGGCACGCGTATGGTGGCGTAGAGTCGTTGCTGTGTATGCGGGACTAGTCCTACCTGTTGGGGCATCCATGAGCGGTGGGACTAGTCGAAGAGTGAGCGAAATTGGCCCAGAAACGGCCGAGGTAGACTAGTATATGTGTGTGGTGATGTCGGTATGGTCGAGGTCGGAGGTACTTGGTGTGGTACTAGTGACGCTACGTCGAATCGTAAGCGAAAGCGTGGCGGAGATCATGACATGTTGGACGAGCGTGCTAAGCTGGCCTATAACGATGGCAAGGTTGCCGACCAAGAATACAGCTTATCGCATCGTTAACAAAACGATGGCAAGGCTGTCGAACAAGCTAAAGATTGTCGCACCATTAACGGGCAAGGCCGTTGAAGAAGCCGTAGAGAAAAAACATTACTTGATGTAGTTTAGTATAGTATACATTCTCGTAGTTAGTAGTTTAAGACGACAATCTGATCACTTTCCCGTTTACTGTGTGAAGCTCGCTGTCGTTACATTTGGTAGCACTTCCTGGTTCAATTCAGTTCAGTTCGGCAGCAAGGACTTACACCGAGTGGCATAGCTCGGAGGTTGTAAGATTACTCAATTTAGTTCAGGCAAAGGTTCGACGGCGGCCTTTCATAGCGACTAGTGTCGAGTTATCGATCGCCTAAGTGTTTCTTTTTCCTCGACAGTACTCTCCTTAGTATCCGACATCAGAGTCGGTAGGGGCAGAGTCGACAGTTGGGAAAGGGACATTTGGTGCGTGTGAAGAGTCACTGCCGACAAAAAAGTAAGCGACTGCGGCGAGTGGGAAAGTCAAAAGCGGAGCGAGCGGCAGCGCAGTGGCGAGCAAGAAGGTTATCCAGCGAGACTTCCGCAGCTAGAACGCGACGTCAGTAGTAACCGAATTAAGTACACTCTCGACGAGCTTACCAAGGCCAAGCAACTTTGAGTTTGTCGTCCGGATACGTAACCGAAGCGATAGACGCGCATTTGTTGGCGAGACCGAAGATCGAAGCGAAGAAGCTGAAGGTCGACACTAAAGACTTAGTTGATTACTTAACGAACCTGTAATAAAACCTTTTTCGAATCGAAATCATGGAGGAAGTGTTTGCGAGGCTAGTTGGGACTATGGAGCATCAGCAGCAGATGATCCAACAACTGCTGGAGGCCCAAACCGAAGCGAAAGTGTTGGTAAATCAACAAACGCAGCAGGGGAATCAACTGAAGGCGCAGCAGGACATGCAAGCAGCGCTACTTCAATGTGTGTCTAGTAACGGCGATCAGGGTAGAAGCCAACTACGTGACAATGAACGGCTTGCCGAGGGACTCTCAATGCCAGCGTACCATGGGCATTTGAATGATAGCATCGGGTTGTACAATCACCGAGTCAAGACGTTCTTTGCGGCGAAGAACTTGAACTACGAAACCGACGAAGCGGGTGAAGCATTCTGTCTAACGATGGTTGTTGCGAACCTTCAAGGGCAGGCAGCTGCGTGGTATCAATGGGTTTACGACACTCGCGGAGTTCGAACACGGTTTACGTGCAGAGTTCGAACCAAGTGATCGGTAAGAGTGGCTACGTGACCGTCTGTTTGCGTTGCAGCAGACTGGGTGCAAAGACTTATCGAGTACATCGAGAAGTTCCATCGTGTTTGCACGAATGTGCAGGAGATATCAGAGCTGGGCAAGGTGACGTTCTTCATTCGAGGGTTAAATTTGAAGACCCGCGAGGAAGTGAAGTACCGTCAAAGTAAGACCTTGTCTGAAGCGATCAAGGCGGCGTTGGAGTATGAACGTGCGCATTCTGTTTCACTCTCGTCGATGAAGCGTCCCGACAGGCCGAACCGATGGAATCGGACGGACTATGGAAGCGGCCAGTGCGAAGGACATGTACCGCGTTTGGAGTCGCAAATGTCCACAGACATGGAAGTGGACAATCAAGATGCAAGGCAGTCGGAGGAAGGATAGCAGCAACATTCGCTGTTACAACTGTCAGAAGTTGGGGCATATCGCGACAGAATGTCGGAAGCCCAAGAAGAAAATATCAGGGCAGGCACCGCCCAGTCACCAGAGCAACCTCGAAGTCCAGGAGCAAGTGTCGAACGATGATGTTGAGTGCATCTCGTTTGGAGTCGTCAAGGAAGTGAACGACAACAAGGGGACTGTGGGAATGGTTGTTCAAGTGGAACCCGTAGCTGAAAAGAAGTCACCAGCGTTGATGATTAAGTCGGGTGTAATGAATGGCAAAGATGTGAAAGTGTTGTTGGATTCTGGAGCGACGCATTCACTTTGTCGAGTTGGGTTGGGAACCAACGTCATTCGCAACAAGGCAGTGCGCATTGCTGCGTATGACAACGTGTGGTCACCTATGGCGAATACGCGAGAAGTCATGGAAACGATCAAGGTCGACAAGTTCTCATTTAAGGACACAGTAATGACAGAGTGGGACTTATAAGACAAGGACTTTGACGTTATCCTCGGTGTACCTTGGTTTGCGAAGCACAATCCAGTTATCGATTCGCGCAAGAGTGAAATCACTTCGATCGAGGAAGAAGTAGAAGCCAATGCGATGTCGACGGAGTCGACTGGATGACTGGTCAAGGTTTGTGAAGGCCAAGCACAAACACAGCAACGACCAGCAGAGATCGAGACTCTTCTCGATGAGTTTAAGGACGTCTTTCCGAAGGAACTACCGGATGAACTGCCACCGGAACGAGCGGTTCAGTTTGACGTCACGATGAAGCCAGATGCGAAGCCACAGCATCGTGCACCATTTCGACTAGCGAAAGTGGAGCAAGAGTCGTTGGACAAGTTTGTCAACAAGCTCAAAGGCAAAGGATGGGTTGAGTGGTCAACGAGCGATTGGGTGTCGATTATCTTTGGAGTGCCAAAGAAGGATGAGAACGGTAAAATGCCATCTCGTCACGTGTGGTTGAAGACAGCAACCGCGAACACTCCAATTCGATGGGTGCTCGACTACTGGCATGTCAACTCCCAGTCTGAAATCCCCAAGATACCTCTACCCAACATTGAGGACATCTTCAACAAGATGCATAGATGCAAGATATTCTCGAAGTTTGATCTTGCATCGAGGTACCATCAAATGCTTGTGCTCTCACATGCTCGCAAGTACACGGCATTTCGAACGCACAAGAAACTTTTGCAATGGTGCGTTGCGCCGATGGGCATGGCGGGTATGCCGGGATATGGTCGCGACGGATGCGATCATTGTTCGACAAGTTTCCATTCGTTGTTGTCTACCTGGATGACATTTGTGTCTACTCGAAGACCATGGACAAACACGTCGAACATGTGCGAGTTGCCCTGGAAGTCTTGTGCAAGGAAAAGTTGTATGCGCGACTCGACAAGTGCGTGTTTACAGTCGATAAAGTGAATTTCGTGGGGCACACCATCTCTGGTGATGGATTGCACTTCGATTCGAGCAAGATTCGAGCGATCGAAGAGTGGGCAGCGCCTACTAATCGCAAGGAGCTCTTAAGTTTCCTTGGCATGGCGGGATACTACCGCAAGTTCATTGCGAACTATGCCAAGTTGATACTACCGATCAGCGAGCTCGCGAAGGACAAGGTTCCATGGGAATGGATGGACCGACACAACAAGGCGTTTTTGGTCGTCAAGGCTGCGTTGCAACAAGCTCCAGTGTTGCAGTTACCGGACTTTGACCAGCCATTTATGATCACAACGGACGCCTCGGGTTATTGTTGTGGAGCGGTGTTATCGCAACTGGATGCGAACGAAGAAGACCGACCGGTTGCATTTTTGTCGAAGAAGCTAAGTGACACCGAGTGCAATTGGCCATCGCATGAGAAAGAATTGTATGCGATCAAGTTAGCACTAGCCAAGTGGAGACACTACGTCTATGGGTCACACTTTGATGTCTTCACGGACAACGCGACTTGCCAGTGGTTTTTGAAGACTCCAGTTTTAACAGCTAAGTTAACACGTTGGTTGGATTTCTTCAGCAGTTTTGACTTCACGTTGCACCATCGTCCTGGCAAAACAAACGTTGTTGCGGATGCATTGTCGCGTCCACCGCGCAATATCATGCAAGCAAGTACCTGCGCTGTGCATGAGTGTGACACTACGTGTTACGACCGTTATCGTTGTGTTAACCGATGGAGCGATCGAGTGCATGACATCAAGTGCTTGAACATTCGCACTTTGGAATTGATGTTGAACTCGCCTCCTCGGGGGGAGGAGGTGGATATGTCGAAAGTCGAAGTCGAAGTTCCGCATCAACTCGCCATCAACCACGCAGAGAAATTTTCGTATTCATCGATCAAGATGGACGATAACTTGAAGCAACGCTTTGTGCGAGCATACGCCAAGACGAAGGAGTTCGAGAACGAAGACAAGTTCGAGAAGAAGGATGGACTCTTCTTCGTGAAGTCGAAGGACCAAGTGTGGAAGTTGTGTGTTCCAAACGACGACTACCTCAAGGGCGAGATTATTTCACAGAGTCATGACACGAGCACCACAGCTCATCCCGGCGTACGGCGAACGCAATTGCACATTGCACAATGGTATTATTGGAGCAGTCTTGAAGAAGACGTGAACCTCTATGTTGCGGCGTGTGAAACTTGTGTGCGATGCAAGGCAAGCAGCGCCAAGGCGAAAGGAAGAATGATCCCGATCGAATCGCCTGAGGAATGTTGACACACAGTTTCGATGGACTGGATCACGGGTTTACCAGTCTCGAACGGAAAGGATGCGATCATGACGTGCGTTGACAAAACATCAAAGCGTCCTACATACTGTACTGTGCGACAGCGTCAAACGTCGATGCTCTCCAAGCAGCGAAGGAGTTCTTCGATGCAGTCGTGCGATACCATGGTTTGCCAGCAGTTGTCATCAGCGACCGAGATTCCAAGTTCACGAGTGAATTTTGGCAAGCGTTGATGAAGATCATGGGCGTCAAGCATTGCATGACGACGGCGGGTCGAGCGCAAAGTGATGGAGCCACCGAACGACAAAATCGGACCCTCAAAGATGATTTGAGATGTCAAGTCTCATACTTGGGTCACAACTGGTCAAAACATCTTGGAACCATTGAATATGCACATCAAGGCCTAGTTCAAGCGTCAACGGGGTTAACACCATTTGAAGTGGATACGGGAAGAAAGTTACGCAACCCAGCGCTGAACGAGGCACTAAACGAGTATGCAAAGAACTTCGCGGAACACCGCAAGGAACTCGTACGTATGGCACTTGACAACCTCCAGAAAGCACAAGCTCGACAGAGGAACTACTACGACAAGAAGCGATCGTTGGTAGAGTTCAAGGAAGGCGATTATGTGATGCTGGTGACGCAAAACATTACGTTCAAGCATGCTCAAGTCAAAAACAAGGATGAAAAGGCGAAGCTCGTGCCACGATTCATTGGGCAGTTCAAGGCACAAGAAATTGTGAACGCCAATGCGATGCAGTTGAAGCAGGCTTCACGATGTCTTCAATGTGGACCGCTTGAAGCATCATATTCAAAACCCAGAACGATTTCATGGAAGACCAATACCCAAAGCAATTCCAAATATTCTCGACGATGCGGGAAATGAACTGCACATCGTTGAAGCGCTGTGGAAGCAACGACAGTTCAATCGGAAGAAAGAATACTTGTTCAAGTCGCATGGTTTGCCCGAGCACGAAGCAACTTGGAAGCTTGAGCGCAGCATCAAGCATGTTTCCCATTTCAAACAATTGCTTGAAGACCTGCGTTCAAGAATCCAAGCTGCCAAGTCGACAACCGGGGGAGAATGGAACGATGGCAAGGTTGCCGACCAAGAATACAGCTTGTCGCATCGTTAACAAAACGATGGCAAGGCTGTGGAACAAGCTAAAGATTGTCGCACCATTAACGGGCAAGGCCGTTGAAGAAGCCGTAGAGAAAAAACATTACTTGATGTAGTTTAGTATAGTATACATTCTCGTAGTTAGTAGTTTAAGACGACAATCTAATCACTTTCCAATTTACTCTGTGAAGCTCGCTACCGTTACATGGCCACAGTAACGAAAAGTAGCTTTCGACTATGGGGTTTCGATTTGGCCACGGCGAATAAGTAGGGAAAACATGGCGCCTGTACTGTACATCAACATTAAACGTCCAGGTACGTCATCGTGCGGTTCCAGTCGTTCAAGGCGATGATAGGGTTCTTCCCAGGTTAGGCCTTGATTTTAAACGACCAGTGATACCGAATACTAAAATGTCTACTGCGATTTCGTGAGCTCTGGTCGCACCTGCTCAATGGTTTTTTTGTCTATTATTATATCGTTCGATTTCATCATTCGTGTGTGTGATTTGGGCCTCTACTAACATGTCCGCGGGTTCGAGGCGTTCAAGGCGACGATGGGGCTCTTCCCAGGTTAGGCCTTGGTTTTAAACGACCAGTGATACCGAATACTAATGTCTACTGCGATTTCGTGAGCTCTGGTCGCACCCTCTCAATGGAATTTTTTGTCTATTGTTAAATCGTTCGATTTCATCATTCGTGAGTGTTATTTGTATTTTGGATTATTATTGATGCATGGTTTGGGCTGGGTGTCGTTTTTGCTTTTCGACATTCATCTGGAAACTCCTGCGTCAAACGTACATTCGTCTACTAACAAGTCTGCAGGTTCAATTTGTTCAAGCCAACGGGATTCGTCACAGATAATACATGTGGATTAAAGATATTCAGGAACAATATATATAACGTTATTAGCAGTATTAGTAGTAAGCTTATCGATTACACGAGGACTTGAAGTTCGTACCTATTGGTTCTAATTCGTCGGGGATGCTGTTCTCTGTAATGACTAGGCGTGGTGGATGGTTATGTAGTGTGGGGTTCCATAGTTTGGGCGTTTGTGGGGGGGGCTGATTGTTGTGCTCCAGTTAATGCTCCTTTGAATAATTACTACTATGTAGTAGCTTACTACTTTACTAGTACTTCGAAGTACTTCGAAATCGTACTAACGTTACTCCAGAGTACTGTGCTTACTACTAGTACGAAGTACTAGTACATATTAATAGTACTACAGTACTCCGGAGTACTACATGGTACTACCCAAGATTACTACTCCATACGTACATGTACTTGGAGGACTACTCCAGAGTACTACGTAGTACTACTTCTACAGTACTGTATTTACTACAGTGTACCAGTATTACTGCTTCCAGGATACGGTACATCTACAACTAATTAGGATGTACAGTAAGGCATTTCTAGGCCCACCACAGTGAAAAATAATATACTGTACTAATATACTTCGTAGTAAGTATGCAACCAATGATAATATTTGATCAATCAACGCATCCCAATGCATTCACTAAGTAAGTCAACATTACGTTTTCCTATTTGCTTAAACAAATAGTTTCTCAAATTTAATCACTTGGCATTTGTAAGTGAAAATAATTGAAACTTGGCCAATTTGTTTTCAACAAATCGAAAATATAATTCGTCGTGCATTACGATGCCGTTCCAGTATTTTCGTCCATATTTCATGTCATTTTCTGGATTATGTCAGAGTTTCTGACTGGGAATACCTTTTGGCAACCTGGTAAATTCGGACTCAAAAGCGGAAAAACGCGAAGGAAAAACGGAAAATCGGACGAACCCACTGAATGTGTGTCGTTTGGTGGTAATTTTGAGGCAACCAGCTGTGATTACAGTGGTATTTTGGGTGGACGGACAAAAAATGATGAGTAAAACTGAACATTGAGGAAATGATGGTGGGATAGTCTCCACGAGACACTTCAAGTGTCTAATGTGAGTTCAGAGCAACCCTGCGACGTGACAAAAACGTGAGTCATCCACACAATTTGAGATTTTGAGCATGATATTGTAGAATTATTCGACAATTTCCAAAAAAGTGAAGCCATCCAAACAAATTGAACTTTTTAAAAAGGTTGTGGATAAAATTGTGGATTATTTATCGCTAGCGCTCGACAAATCAATTGCAGTGCTGTAGTTCCCATCACAAGCACCACAAAGGCACGGGATGTTCCATCCTGCGTCCATATAGTCACGCGATAGTATAGTACCTCGTTCAAGAGCTTGGTTGGCGACGACCATTAACCGAGGCTTGGTGTCGACATACCATGTTTGAAACCGGCAGTTTGGAATGCATGAGTGGTTGATGAACCTCGAATGATTGCCCACACGTCCCGCGTCAATGTACAAATCTTCGCTGGAACCAACGCGGGCCAAATACCAATCGGTGGTACCTTGCTTTAGGCGTTTCTGGCGCAAAACGTCCATCTTGCTCATGTACTCGCCAACGTACTCGATTATCTTTGTCTCGCTTCGTACATCCACGTCAATTCGGAGGCCGTGTTTGAGCAGGTCATTTTGGACCACAGTTGTCTTTGGGAATCGCTTCATCTGGATCGTTTGATTTTGGCAAAATTCCATCGAGCTTCAGCGGTTTGGAGCACACCCCGTTTGCATCATCAAGTTGTCACACAACCTGAATGAGTTGCAAGGAAACTCGCGAGAACAGCGGCCGCAGTGAGAGTTGTGGATTCCACTTGAAAATCGTTTCCCTCTGGAGGAACGTGCAAGTCGTGGTGGAAGGCTCAAACCGGGTTGACAAGTCTCGACATGGGTGTAAATGCGGCCAAGGGCATCGGGGTCCGCTTCCACAGAGTCAAACTTGACGTCGTCCTCGGAATCATCGCTTTCAGTTAGGACGATAACGTGGGTGCCTCGTTCAGATTCCGAGGCGCTTTGGTAGGCTTGATCTTTGTAGGGGGGGCCGTCGCCCCGCGTTTGATGGATATGGCGGGGTCCTTGGGGTTGGTAGAGGCCCGCGTAGCTGATGCTTCATTGGAGCCTCGTCGTGTGGCAGGGGTTGGTGCAGCAGATAGTGGAGTGGCGGCTCGTCGAGTGGCGGGGTCCTTGGGGTGGACAGGGGCGGGTTCGGCTGATAGTTCAGTGGCGGCTCGTCGAGTGGCGGGGTCCTTGGGGTAGGCAGGGGAAGGTGGGGCAGGCGCTGGCGTGATGTCTCGTGGATTGGTGTGGTCCCGGGGCCTGCATTTTGTTCGGGGAGTCTTTCCAATACGTTTGCCGCCTAGTGCCTTGGGGAACTTCACTGGGACTGACGTCATTTTGAAGTAATCCTCAAAGTCGCTGTCGTACGAGTCCTCACTGGAGGCAGCCGAAGGGTGTGACTTTGAGGAGCCAACAGCACACGGAAGTGGCCCATTCATAGGCCTTAGAGTGGCTCGAGGGACGGAGCGTACAGGGGAGAATGGGCAGGAAAAGGGGTGGCTGGAATTTTTGAGAAGTGTGGCGAAGTCGCTGTCGGCCAAAGAATCGTCGTTATCGAACAGATCAGCGTCTTCTGACACCACGCTTTTTCGGAAGGGGCGGCATGGCGCCTTTTTAGAGGTTCCATACGTTCTGTCGAGGGCTGGGTCACGTGTCGACAATTCATCGTCGGTTTCGGTGTCTTCGCCTGAGGGACCGCCGTCTTGTTCGCCCGTTTCAGTGGCATCAAAGGTGTCAACGCCGTTGGGTTCACTGCCACTTACAGTGTCGTCGAGGCGGCGGCAACATTGGCTTGGCGCCGGGTTTCAAAACTTGCAGCGACACGACGGCACCACTTGGCAAAGTAATTGGAGTGCTTGAATGCGGGATGACTGATGTCGTCCCACTCGGGCCAAAGCTCACTCACCTTGACACGCATAAGTTCCAGGTTGATTGGGGAACGTGCTGTGGCCATCCACGCATGCAGCTGCAGCCGTCGAGGGTCGACTGGCTTGGATTGTCGTTGCAATATGGACGCTCGTGGGGCGATGTGGTTGTTGACGCGGTCTGTCGAGACTCGGTTGATTCTGTCTTGATTGTTCACCCCTTTTCGAAAGTGGACAGAGGTATCTGCCGTGACCGGGCAGAAAGCAACGAGAGTCATGCCACCGCCTTCAACAGCATTCCATGCCCGGAGCAGGTCTTGTTTTTCGCCGTACGTGCGGTGAATTGGTGCACGCGTCGGCCGAACGTAGCTCATGCCCCTCCACGTCCAAAAATGTCCGCCACGTAGGTGGATGGTTTGAGGTTATGTTATTTGACATTTTTAAAATACGTGTTGGCTATATGAACTTGTACATATTATTTCGAACAAGGTACATCCATCACGATAGCTGACCTTTTAAAAATACATGGTGGCTATATAAACTTTGAATTATTATTTCGAACAAGGTATACTCATCACGATAGCTTGTACAACCAAAAACATTATTTTTTCTATTATGTTTTTGCCATCTCGTATGCTATTTCACAGATATTGGTTCCGGCGGTACCCAAAAAAAGGAGGTGTGTGAAAAATTTCTGGCTTTGAAGCATCGCTCGCCACGCGTTCAGCCACAATGTAATGTAATGTCATGCGGCTTAGCTTTACAAATTAAACTTGTACTTGTTCCCTTCCTGACCTATGCTGTCTTCCGTGTCATCGCTTCTCCAGCGTGCTTTGTTTCGGGGAAACGCTGGCGCTGTGCGTGTTCCTGTGCCGTCGCCCTGTGAGGATGGCCGTCATGACTCACCGCAACTCCCACCGCTTCGTCTGACACAAGCACCACTTTATCAGCACAGATTGTGGTATGATGGTGCGGTCGACGCCATCGGAAGGCAGGCTGTCATCGTCCCAGTAGACAGTGAAGTAGACGACGATGGCGAAGGAGACTACGATGGTTCGTTCGACTTTGATGACAACAACGCGTGGGACATATTTGCCAGCATCGACTGGGACATCGGTGGAATGGACGAGGAGGACATCAGCAGTGACGACGGGTCGTACGCGAGTGACGACACCACTCCCGTAGTTGTTGCAGATATCCTCGCGATGTCAAATCAACCGCGGAAGAATACCATCCTCGACTGGCTAAGGATGGGCGAGTTCGAGTCCTACGCGCTTGCCAAAGACAGTGTGGCCCCATCATCCACCCAATCCACCAAAACAACAAGATGCACGGTGTGTCTTGGTCCTGGGGTGCATGACATGTGCACGCGGTACATGAAGTGCACATGTCGCGGCCATTGCACCAAGCAACTACGTGTCTTCACCTGCTCCACGTCGAAACGATCGGTGGTGTACAAACGGGGCCAATATGGGGATTGTGACCCTGAACGCTCAGGCGCAATGTCCCGCAGTATTCGAGACCAAGCGGACCGCCTCTTCGCTGAAGGCATCACGCCAAGCCGGGCACAACATCGACTAAAAAGTGTGATTCCTGCACATGCAATGCCACACTTAAAGACATTTCAAGATCGCTATCGATACTACCGGCTCAGTACCCTTAACGAGCACAGCAAGCCATCCGTGATGGCCCGCCTACTTGTGGAGAGCAGACTTGACGTCGGGTGGGACAGCACGACATACTTCTCCTTTGGTTTCGACGTCGTGGACGCTCCACAAATCGGTTACGGTGGACAATCTGGGGTGTTCAAAGTTGGCATCACGACGAAGCAGTTACGGAATGAACCGCGACCGTTCCACGTTCATTTTCCATTGGGACGCCACGTACAAGATCAATTCCATGGCGTACCCCGTCTTGATTTGCGGGATGACGGACCCCGGGGGCAGGTTCCATCCTGTCGCGTTCTTCGTGATTGGCGAAGAGTCAACTGACGAGTACGAATGGGCGATGCGCGAGTTGATGAAGGTGTACGAGGCGGTTGTGGGTAGTCCACTCAAACTGGACTACGTCATGGGTGACGCGGCCAAAGCCCCAATCGCTGCCATGAAAAACCTGCCCCAACTTGGAATCAAGACACTACTAATGTGTTTCTACCATTGTGTGGCCTGCGTCAACAAGCGTTTGGGCGCGGTACCACAGAATGTGAAGGCCTTGGTTTCAAAGCACATGTTCATGATGCACTACAGCCGAAGTGGAGTCGAATGCCAGCAACACTGGGGAGCGGCCAAAGCCGCATGGTCAGCATGTGAAGTCCTCGTCACGAAGGATTTTGTCCGATACTTCGAAACGCAATGGTTCTCGGGGGACACCACGAATTGGCAAGTGTACCACACCCCGAGTGGTTTCCCAACAACGAACAACCCATGCGAATTATTCAACAAACACTTCAAAGGTTTGAGCGTCCTCACGTTTGACCTGACTTCAATTCGTAGGGATATATACCCAGCGTACAGTGCATGGTTTGTGCGCAACGTTCCTTTTGCTGGGAACGATGGTCGAAGAGTTGTCAACGTTCAGAGCGCAACCATTCAGGACCAGCCCATCGCCGAGCAAGAAGTTGCTGCAGCGCTTTCGGCGCTTGGTTAAGTTCGCACTGTTAGAGGTTGTTCCTTCGACTCCAACCTTTGCACTTGGCTATAGTTGGCCTCACGGAATTAATTTCACTCAATTCAAATATATATTGTAGATGAGAGGTGTCTTGGGAACATCACAGCCATCAAACAGTGCACCCAACGTGCCGCGTTGCCGCAAGCGTCAAATCGGCAGGCAGCCACACGGAAGCACAAAGTGAAAAACTGAGAGCTAGGAGCGTAAGCAAACAGGCAAATGAAAGCCCATTTGAGAGGAAGCATGATTCACTAATATTCAGCAGGTGCATGAGAGGACAATGGAGAGGATGGACCGCATTAGAGCACTACATTAACGACACTATATTGCAGCAGTGCTGTTTATGTGCTGTATCGATACTACTACATGTGTGTGTACTACTACTACATGTACGGCTTGTGTGATGAACGAGGGGTTAAGGTACCGGTAACGTTACTAGTACTATCGGTTATGTGATGGTGGGGAGCGTGAAGATATGGCGCACAAGGTAGACTGAAGTTATCGTTGGAACTGCGTGATGCCGTCACCGCGGTCACCAAAGTAAGATGTCATGTTGTTCTCGAGAACACCGTGACGGCTCAACACAACCGCTGAGGACAGAAGACCAGGGATCATAGTCCAGGAGGCATCCGAACCTACTATAGGAATGAATCAATGATGAAGTTGCTTGTCTTGTACTATACCGCTGTTGACTGGTCGCGTGCAGAGCGGCCATGGCCCTCGGCACTTGCACCTCGCCACTTGCACGTCGCTGGTGGCACCAATGAAATACTAGCTCTGTCCGAAAATTGTTACCCCAAACTGAAAAACTGAGATTCCGAGAAAAGTTGCCTCAAGTGTACTACTGTAAGAAATGCCTCTAATCTGACCAATGGAATACGCGCAACATACATTACAACAATTAATCGATGCCCACGGCGGCAGCGATGGACCCAAATGTTGTCCGTCGAGCCTTGGGCACGAGTTTGAGACAGGCAGCAACAGAGTCGTGCTTGAGGTTCCTGCCAGAACGACCTTTTTTCCTTGAGCAGACAGACTGGCACGGGGGAAGCTTGTCGGACAGGTCGACTGCATCTCGGTGCCAGATTCGGCGAACCATGCTTCGGTCAACACCAAAGGAGACGGCGACGTCTGCTCAGGCACCTCGTGGCAATGTCTTGTGATCAACCATCCGCGCGAGAAGCTGCTGTAGGATTGCAGTTCGATCGTTGTCCGTGAGGTCCTTCTTGGCGCACATTTGGATTCCCATCCTTGACACGCTCGTTGATACGGATAACGTTTGTTTTATCCGTAACCGGACATCCGGATACCTCCGTTTTGAGACAAATCGTCCAAGTTGTATAGGTTTAAGTATTGGGGCTCTGTGTGGCGGAATCTGTTGTGATTGGGTGTAGTTTGGTACGAAGCGATGCTATTGGTGTGCTCTAGAGGCTACTAATGATGCATCTGTTTTCAGAATGGAATAGTTCGACCAACTTCACGTTCATTTCTCAAATATTCCGTTTGGGGTAACTATTTTCGGACAGAGGTAGTAGCCAATATGGTCTCCTAAATTCTATAAAGACTCACCTCTATACATAACACTACCTCTAATAACACTACCTCTAATATCAGATAATTATGTCACGAAATGCTTAAATTATCGATATCTAGATATTTGTATGACGCTCTTAACATCCACAACTTGAACTTCAGCATACAGTGGATAACCTCTTTAAATTTGTATAATTTATACACGTGGGGGCTTCTCTTAACATACGAATAATACTAGTACTGTAGTAGGTGAGCGAGGATAACATACAGACGTCTGCAAATGACTGGGATATTGGGGATTACTGGATACTGGAGGCTTGAGCATACGTCAAGAGGTCTTATAGTGTTGCTCAAACCGGGATTGTTGAACCATCTGTGCTGCAGGCAAGCGGTGGATAGCGCCGAACGTCCACAGATACATGTAAATCTATACATGTGTTCATCGACCACCACAAATCGGTCGTGTTTGTACGTCGGCACGACGCACCCAACAGCCTACCGGGATAATTTTCTTCCGTAACCCTGTAACCCCGGGACTTCGTCCTACCCCCGCGTGCACAAACTTCGAAGTATAATGCTAAATCCCCACGACCAATCACCAGTGGTCAGCTATCGCTAACCACGGAGATACACTTAACCCCTAGTATGAGTTGAGGTGGTCAGAGTACAAAAAAATATGCCTAATCTAACTAGAGTTTATTAGATTGAACGGTTTTCAGTCTTGGCTCGAGTCCACATGGTACTACTGTAGATTTTGACAAGGTGTAATTGACAGTCCTGGTTGGCTATTGGCATGGATGTAGGCAACGATTGAATTATATCATACCTACTGTACTTCATTCAGATGAGTTCAACTTTTCAGATGTCGCAACTGTGAAGTGGACAACCTACCCAGTGTTACGCTTGCTCGGCTTCTGATAACGTGTACTAGTATCGATTATGAGAGGATATTTCTCAGATCATCACCTATTTTTATGCATATAATATGAAAAATGCTATTGGCTTCCACTATATGTGGGCCATCCTGACTAACCCTGAAAAACGTTCAACAAATCTGAATACTGTTCAGCCAAGACTGAAAACCGTTCAAACCAATGAACTCTAGTTAAATGAGGCATATTTTTTGCACTCTGACCACCTCAACTCATGCTAGGGGTTTAGGGGGGGGGAATAGCTCAGGTGGTAGAGCATCGGTTTCTTAACACAAAGGTCGTGGGTTCGATCCCCGGATTATTTCCGCAAGGATTTATCCGTCCCTCCCCTGGGGAATCCGGATAACAAGGGCCGCGTACGAAGACGAGGCCCGAACTTCGAAGAAGATCGGTCGAAGCACGAGGTATGAAGCGTAGAGCGAAGTAAAAACTGAAGATTACACACCGCCCCTGGTCGAGCAGGCGCGTTACAATTGGCGAAGCGGTTCCATAACATGTGGTTCTAGTGTCGGCCCTCGCGGAGGAATGTCTTAAAAATGATAATCCAAACTCAATTAATCATGCTAGGGGTTAACAAGCGCATCACCAGTGGTTAGCAAGAGCTAACCAGATACGCATACTAGTATTTGAGGTGGTCAGAGTACAAAAAATATGCCTCATCTAACTAGAGTTTATTAGTTTGAACAGTTTCATTGAGATATTGAAGTGGTTTTGGGGTTCGGGGTTTCGAATCGAAACCGATCCACAATCGATCTGATTGGTTGAATTCATTGAGAAGTTTTTGATTGGCTAGTAATTTTGAGCTCATCTGAAGTAGCCAATCAAATCGATTTATATACCAACGAGAAACCACGCCACAACACGAAATTTCACTCGAAAGCACAATAAATACTTCATAACTGTTGAGCTAAGTACTCCGGTACAACAGTTCTAGCCCTCTATACAACGTTATCGAGTACTTCATGGTACTCCGGGCCTTTCGCTTGTCCAAATTGCGTTTGACTTCAGCTTGTGTGCACTGCTTAGTGTCATTACTAGTTTATCGATACGTATTAGCTGTGTTTGTGTCCGTGTTAGAATTTCACCCTTTGTACTCTTCATATCAACAGCAACACAGAATCGGCCTCCTTGCTCGGTTCCACTGCGACCTCTTGCAACTCCAGGCTTTTGCGACAGAACGTTTCAGGAGAATATCCGCGACATGCGTGGCCATTCCGATAAACTTGTGATTTGCCACGCTATGCTTACTCGCTTACTCTCAACCCCGAAGTGATTTACCCTGAGACGTGTGTTCAAGGAACCTGATCCCACCTTCAGCGGAATTGGCGGAGTCGCAGCAATCAATTCATTTTCAATTTCGCGTCTGCCATGGCAAGCCACGACAACAAGGCAGCGGACTTGGAGGAACGCGTGTCGTACGTCCACTCGGTCACGACCAAAGACGTTGACGGGTACGCCGAAGCAAAATCTCCCAAGGACCTGGAAGGCGGGGCGTTGACCGAGGGGGGGGCGCTGGACTTGTTCTCCCGCGAAGCGTTTGCCCTGTTCATGCAGTACGGCGCCATCGGAGTCATCTACGGCATGATCCCGGCGCTCAACTACCCCCTCTTCAACATCTACCTCAACTTGGAGGGGTACCAAACGTCGTCGTACAGGGTGTTGGTTCTGATCGGGTGGTCGTTCAAGGTCATCTTTGGCTTGTTGTCGGATTGCGTCCCCATCTATGGCTACCGTCGTAAGTCGTGGATGTTAGTCGGGTGGACCATCACGATGATCTGTTTGAGTGTGATGACGTTTTCGCCGTTCGGCGAGCCATTTTGCAACCGCGAAAAGACCAAATACTGCGCCACTCCGTTGGAAAAGGTGCCCAAGTCAGAGCTTCAGTACTTCAACTTGGCCGCCCCCGACAACGGCACGCTGTTCACCCTTCTGTCCATGTTTATCGCGTTTGGGTATGTCTTGGCTGCGAGTGCATCGGACGCGATGGTGGTCGAGTACGCCCAGCGAGAACCTGTGGCCATCCGCGGCCGCATCCAGACCGCCATCTACACCGTGCGCACGCTCACTGGCATCTTCGCGTACTTGGTGACTGCGTTCGGGCTGAACGGCCCCAACTACGCCGGATCGTTTTCGTTTGCGTTGTCGCCGAATGCTCCGTATGGCATTTGCTTGGTGCCGTGTGTGCTCGTGGTGCTCTCGACGGTATTCCTCCTCGTGGAGAAGAAGACTGAGCCTTGTTCCTTCGCCCAATGGTGGGGCACGTTTTGGAATTCACTCCAGAGCCGCGTGGTGTGGCAAATCTGTTTGTTCCGATTACTGAGCAACGTGTTCAACGGCGTCCGCACCACTGCGGGGTTTCCCATCTCGACTTACTGGGCGGGGGTCGAACCTCTCAACGATTCGCTCTCGAACATCATTGGCAATGCGCTGTTTGCTGGCATTTTGGTGGTTGTGGGCAAATGGGGACTTAACTGGAACTGGCGGTGGACCATCGCCGCCGGCACCATCGGGATCATCGTCATCGATGGCTTTGTCGTGTTCGTGACCATCTGGGATGTCGTGCGCAACCAGTGGTTCTTCACGGGCGTGGCTTTGGCTGACGAGATCCCCAACGGCATCCGATTCATCGTGTCCACGTACTGCGCCGTGGAAATCGCTGACAAGGGCAACGAAGGCGCCATGTACGGCCTCGTGTCCACTGTGAGCAACCTCTCGGGGCCGTTTGCCAGCATCTTTTACAAGTACGTCAACTCGTTCTTCAAAGTACGTCAGAACGACATCAAGTCCGACACGCTCGAGGTGCGGTGGGACGTCACATACGTGTACTTTATTTCGTACGGGTTCAAACTGGCGTCGTTGGTTTGGTTGTTTTTGCTGCCTCCCCAAAAGGCGGAAATTCAGGCGTTGAAGGCCCGCGGTGGCAAGAGTAAAGTGGCGGGAGTGATCCTCGTGGCCACATTTGTTATGTGCGTGACGTTCACCGTGACCAGCAACATCATGTCCATCTTCCCCTCCACCAAGTGCTACCGCATCGCAGGGGGCAACGGAGTATTTGACCCCAAGACGGGCAAGTGCCCCCTCAAGTAGAAAAAAGGTGTCTTGCATTTTGAAGTAACGTATACTACTACCTTGTAATAGTAATCAACATTGCATATCTCGTGTTATCCTGACGGTTCCAATGTTCATGTTGTGGTGACTTCATCCAAGTCCGGCCATGTCACAGGTGGACCTCAACCGAAGCCACCGGCTGCTCTCCATGTGAATCAAAGGCTCGTCGTGCAAACAAGATTAAGGAATCAAGAAATCGGGGAAGAGACGCATGTGTACTGATTGTATCATCAGAACACAATAGAATTGACCTAGCCTTAGAGTAGCGATCGAGGGACGACAGAGCATCCGCCTACAAAATTGCAGCGTAGCGGAGGTCGTATAATTTTGTGCAGGCGGTGCCGTGGCGAGGAGTGAGCCCCAATCCTTCACCGAATACCCTCTCGCCGGGAAAAGGGCAGGTAAGCCGTGTTGTGGAACAAAATACCTTGTACTTCGACGCGGTGGTCAACAAGGTTGTGCTAGCAATTCAAGCAAAGTTTCCTGGTGGTAGCACGCGCGGTGATGTTTGGATCCAACAAGATAACGCAGGTCCACATCGACGAGTCACGAGAGCGTTGCTTCAAGCGCATGGTGGTGTATGGTGTGGGGGAAAAGCATATTTGAACGTAGTTTTTGGTATATTTACACGTGCCGTTACAACAATGGTGTGCATACACGTGGTAATGGTATGCTT